ATGTATGGATTGTTACTAACAGTTTGTGTGTATAATGGATTTGAGGTGTCTAACACTTGTGTAGTCTAAAAGTGCTTAGATGAGTTCTGAACCTGTGTAGTGTAAAATGTGAGTGCGTGATCTAAAAACCGTGTGTGGAAGATGTGTTGTGCGTGTTAACACCGTGTGTGAGATAAAGGTGTGCTGTTAAAACACTTGTGAGAAAATGTGTGTAGTGATTTTAACACAGATTTGTCAGTAAATGTTGTTCTAAACAAGACTACAGAAGATTTGGAGTGCTTAAAAGTTGTAGACTTAAACAGTGTGAGAAAAATGAGTGTGAGCTTAAGAATGAAAATTGAATATAAGTTTTTAACACCAAGCGTTTTGAAATAAACAATTTAGAAATATTTCACAAGGGTTGTCTAATACGCTGAAAGGGATCTTGACTTCGAAGGAAATAGACTACCCCATTTGCAATCAAGATTACTTCAATCTTGCAAGAGAACAACCCCAACAAATTACACCCATGACTTTTAATAATAATAAGCGGGGAAAATTTTTGAGAGGATCCCCTAGGTAGCTTGAGAGTGATTTGGAAGACTTGATAAGGAAGAGACTTGAGAAGAGACTTGAAGAAAAGCTTGAAGAAGAAGAAGCTTAAAAGATTTGAAGAGAAGACTTGAAGAAAAGATTTGAGAAGAAGACTTGAAGAAGAGACTTTGAGAAAAAGACTTGAAGAAGAAGGGATTGAAGAAAAAGATTGACGAAGAAGACTTTTAAGGAAAATTTTAAGAAGAAAAAAGGCTTGAAGGAAGACTTGAAAAAGAAAACTTGAGAAGAAGATTGAGAAGAAGCTTGAAAAAGAAAACTTGAGAAGAAGAAGACTTGAAGAAGAAGATTTGAAAAAGAAGAAGACTTGAAAAAGAAAACTGAAGAAGAAGACTTGAGAAAAAGACTTGAAGAAAAAGTTGAAGAAAAAGGGAAGATTGAAGAAGAAGATTTGAAGAAGAAGAAGACTTGAAGAAAAAGACTTGAAGAAGAAAACTTTAAAAAGAAGAAGATTTTGAAAAGATTTGGGAAAAAGAAAAACTTTAAAAAAGAAAACTTGAAGAAGAAGACTTTAAAGAAGATAAGATAAGTAAGTGATAAATTTCGTTGGATTTTTAACCCCCAGGGTTGCCACCCAGGATTTAACCAAAGGAAAGGCAGTGCTTGAGGAGTCTAATTATTTCCTTGGGGTCCTTAAACTTGTCCCCCGGGGTGCGACCCACACCAGTCGACTAAAACCCGGTACCCATTTGTGCTAGGGTGAACAGGAAAAGGGTAAGGAAACGTGTCAAATGTTTCCACCCCCCGGGAATCGAACCGGGCCCCCCGTGTGGAAGCAGGAGCTTTTGCCCCAGAGAAGACTTGAAGAAAAAGATTGAAGAAGAAGACTTGAGAAGAAAACTTGAAAAGAAAAAAGACTTTAAAAAAGAAGACTTGAAGAAGAAAGTTTGAAGAAAGGACTTGAAGAAAAAGACTTTAAGAAGAAGACTTGAGAAAAAGACTTGAAGAAGAAGACTTAAGGAAAACTTGAAGAAAAAGTTTTAAGAAAAGGGAAATTTGAAGAAAAAGACTTGAAGAAGAAATTTAGAAGAAGCTTGAAGAAGAAGACTTGAAAAAGAGATTTGAAGAAGAAGCTTGAAAAAGAAGCTTGAAGAAAAAGACTTGAAGAAGAAGCTTGAAGAAGAAGAAGACTTGGAAAAAAGAAGACTTGAAGAAGAAGATTTGAAGAAGAAGACTTGAAGAAGAAGATTGAAAAAGAAGTTTTTTAAGAAGAAGGGGCTTGAAGAAGAGACTTGAAGAAAAAGATTTGAAAAAGAAGACTTGAAGAAGAAAAGACTTGAAAGAAGACTTGAAGAAAAGGCTTGAAGAGAAAATTGGAAAAAGAATTTGAAAAAAGGGAAAACTTTGGAAAAAGAAGACTTGAAAAAGAAGATTGAAGAAGAAGAAAAGGGCTTTAAGAAGAAGAAGATTGAAGAAGAAGAAAAAAGAAAAAAAGAAGAAGAAAAATTTTTTGTTTCAGTTTTTTAAAAAAACAAAAACTTATTGTATTAAATTAAAAGGAGTAGCGCTAAAGCCCCAAAGGGGGCACAACCCCCCGGAAAAAAATGAGATAAAATCAACTTTAATCCTGGAAAGGAAGACCCGCTCATCTCCCCGGATCAAGGGGGCCTTCGGTGACCCCCGGCACCCCCTTGAAGGGGAAAAACAAAAAAATTTTCCATATTTTTAATGGCCAAAACGCACTGGTGCCCTTTTCATTTTATCAAAAATAAAAACCCCAAAATTTTTACTTTATTAGTTTTTTTTATGGTTTATTTAATTTTTCTGCATAATAGACTTAATATCTTGCGATGAGGGTAATAAAAAAAATCGTTCCCCGCTTTTGACGCACAATAAAAATTTTTAAAATTTGTCGACTTTAACGTAAAAAGAAACATAAAAGCATCAAATTTTCTATTAATATTATTTTAGTATAAATATTTTCTTAAAAAAGCATTCAAGAAATTAAAAGAAAAGTTTTTTATTATGAAGTGAATGTAAAAAATGCTGCTCCCCTTAAATGTGCCCATAATAACCGTCTATAAGGCCTTCTATAATTGACCAAAAAATAATTAATGTAAGTCATTTTCCACTATTTTTTATGTTTTTTTAGTATAAAATTTTTGGGTGAAATATGTGGGAGGAGTGAGGCGGTGTTGCAGTGCCACCTGCTATATTTCTATGTTATAACACTTGTAATAAGTTAAAAAATGTTTTTTTTTGGGATATTTTTGGGTTTTTTACTGGTCTGACGTCATTGTCGAATTTTGTGTTCAGTTCAAAGTTTGTGCTTTAAAAAAAAACTTATTTTTCACCCCCGTAGAAATTTTTGCAGTGTTGTGTTCTAACACCCTGTGTTGTGTTAAAGTGTTGTGTGTGTTCTAAAAACCTTGTGTGTGTTAATGTGTTGTGTGTGTTCTAAAAACCTGGTGTTTGTTCAACACCTGGTGTGTGTATAAAGTGTGTGTGGTTCTAAAAAACCTGGTGTGTCTTAAAGTGCTGTGTGTGTTCAACACCTGTGTGTGTATAAGTGTTGTGGTGTTCTAACACCGTGTGTGTATAATGTGTTGTGTGTGTTTAACATGGTGTGTGTATAATGTGCTGTGTGTGTTTAAACCTGGTGTGTATAAGTGTTTGTGTGTTTAAACCTGTTGTGTGTATAATGTGTTGGTGTGTTCTAACACCTGTGTGTTATAATGTGTTGTGTGTGTTCTAACACCTGTGTGTGTGTATAATGTGTTGTGTGTGTTCTAACACCTGTGTGTGTATAATGTGTTGTGTGTGTTCTAACACCTGTGTGTGTGTATAATGTGTTGTGTGTGTTCTAACACCTGTGTGTGTCTATAATGTGCTGTGTGTGTTCTAACACCTGTGTGTGTGTATAATGTGTTGTGCGTGTTCTAACACCTGTGTGTGTGTATAATGTGTTGTGCGTGTTCTAACACCTGTGTGTGTGTATAATGTGTTGTGCGTGTTCTAACACCTGTGTGTGTGTATAATGTGTTGTGTGTTTTAACACCTGTGTGTGTCTGTAATGTGTTGTTCTAACACCTGTGTGTCTATAATGTGTTGTGTTCTAACACCTGTGTGTGTCTATAATGTGTTGTGTGTTCTAACACTTGTGTGTATAAATGTGCTATATATATGTTTGTAACACCTGCGTGTCTGTATATTAACACATTGGCATAATCTCTTCAAGGGGTTGTCCTTGATACTGCTGAAAGGCTCTTGATCCAAGGAAATAGAGCTACCCTCCCTTTCATTGGATCAAATCTGATTACTTCTCATTCTCTAGGCAGTGTACAACCCCAACATATTTACCATTTCCCCATGATTTTAATAATAATAAGCGGGGTAATATTTTGTTGAGGGATCCCCTCTAGGTACGTTCCTTGATGCTGGTGAGGGGCTCTTGATCTAGGGAATTGGATCTGTGCTCCAGTGTCCTGAATTAAGCCTGAATCTGAATACCTTCCATCCCCCCTCCCCCCTCCCCCACACATACACTGTATAATCCTGCGGGTTTAGCGCTTCCCCATGATTATAATAATTTGTGGAGGGATTCAGGGAAACCAGTTAGCTGGACTTGAGTCCTGGAGGTGGGAAGTACAGTACCTGCACTCTAAAGGAAGGGTTTGGGATATTGACTGTTTAGAATGACATCTAAACTGTTGTATCTGGATGCCTCTGCAAAGAAAGTGATTATGTGTGAATGATGGTGAAAGTGTTAAATGATGAGTGTTTCTTTCTTTTTTGGGGTCACCTTGCCTCAGTGTAAGACAGCCAACATTTCAAAAAAAAAAAACTACTACTACTACTACTACTACTACTAGTACTACTACTAGTACTACTACTACTAGTACTACTACTACTAGTACTACTACTACTAGTACTACTACTACTAGTACTACTACTACTAGTACTACTACTACTAGTACTACTACTACTAGTACTACTACTACTAGTACTACTACTACTAGTACTACTACTACTAGTACTACTACTACTAGTACTACTACTACTAGTACTACTACTACTAGTACTACTACTACTAGTACTACTACTACTAGTACTACTACTACTAGTACTAATACTACTACTACTACTACTACTACTACTACTACTACTACTACTACTACTACTACTACTACTACTACTACTACTACTACTACTACTACTAATCTCCATAGGGAGGCAGAGAATAATCCTCAGTAAGCCATGTGTGTTGTAAGAGGCAACTAAAATTCCAGGAGCAAGGGGCTAGTAACCCCTTCTTCTGTATAAATTACTAAATGTGAAAAGAAGAAACTCTTGGTTCTTCTTTTTCAGGTCATCGTGCCTTGGTGGGAGACAGCCGGTGTTAAAAAATATACATAATAATAATAATAGTGATATGTGTTAGCTCAATTCTTTCAATTTACATTTAGTCTGTTCTCACAGATGGAGTGGAAAACATTAAATTCTGGTGTCGTGTGTAAGGAATAGCAGTGACATTAGTGGAGTATGTCTACTCCTGCATCTCCAACTGCTGCTCGTAAGGAGAGAATTTTCACAGGTACTTCATATTCATAGTCCTTACTCATTAAATTTCAGTTTGGTTAGGTAAGGTTCATCAAGAAACAGTTCAAATGTTTCCTGACGCAAGTCTTAGTCAGACGATGACCCGCAATTGGAGCTTCTGGTCATCTGACCAAGGCCTTCTGCTGGGTTATCAGTCCATCCCCTAAAAATTTATGGTCATGGTTAAAAACCATACGTACTATATTAAATTTCAGTGAAACTATAATATTTAAATAGCTAACGTACAATTGTCTGCTTTTACAATGTCTGGAAGCCTTTGCAAAGATTCAGACACTAGGAAAATTGTATTAGACTAGTGTAAATATGTACATTGCAAAATTCTGTCATTGTTTCATTTTTGTGTTTTTTTTTTTTGCAATAGGGTCCATCTAATGGGGAAAACAATGACAATAGTGGTGGATGGCTTGGAGCAATTGGTGGGGTGGTGGGAGAATGGCTACAAGGATGGGGATTGCTTGGGGTGCTGCGGAAGAAGACAGGAGTGCCAGGTGGTGTGCGATCAACTCCAGCCACTCCTCCCACACACAGTCATCCTTCTACTCCATCACATGAGCATATTGAGTTGAGACAGTTGAACTTGCAGGTGGGCATTTTACTAGCTATCATTACATGTTTTATGTTGTTTAGAATGGTTTAGATTATAACATTTAATACACTGGAATGATTTTCAAATGGTGGCATATTTGTTATATCTTATTTTTATGTTTTGGCACTGATATAAATACTACACATTTTACAGAAATACTTCTATACTTACGTGCACTTCACTGTAGTCTGAAGTGAAGTTGAACCCTGGTTTAGTATTTTGAAGGTATTAAGAGTTACAAAGAACAGTATAGGGATGTCTTAATGTAGAGTACATATCTCATTATTTAAAACATGTATGTTTTATATTGGCAGTTTGGAGGGATATGTTGTGTATCTTTATACGTATATGCTTCTAAACTGTTGTATTCTGAGCACCTCTGCAAAAGCAGTGGTAATGTGTGAGTGTGGTGAAAGTGTTGAATGATGATGAAAGTATTTTCTTTTTGGGGATTTTCTTTCTTTTTTGGGTCACCCTGCCTCGGTGGGAGACGGCCGACTTGTTGAAAAAAAAAAAATGTTTTATAGTTACTGTTTGAATGAAAACAGATTGGCCCTTTTAGACCTGTTCATTCAATCTCTTTTATTAACTTATTCAATTTCTTGACTAGTTTTCACCCTAAAAATACTTATACATGGTATTTTGAAAATAATCACACTGATATACGAGATACTGTGCAGCATTTGGGTATCATTACCTGAGGGACTGATTACCTCAAACTCCTCATCTTCCACCTTTTTCTCTGTGCACTGGACTGACAAAACCACTGGCTGGCAAAATGTTTCCAGAATAAAGATACCCAAATGTTGCACAAGTGTCTCATTTATCAATGTGTCAGTTATCTAAACCATTTATTCACATAATCATTCTTTGATTAAGCATAGTACTTATAAACTATTGTACTTCAGGGTTACATTTGATAAGGATTGTGAAGTGCTAAGACTTCCAAAAATAGTATTACCTATCTTGTTATCTTATTATCTCTCTACATTCAAACATAAAGCAAGTATGCTTTTTTTTTTTTAATTTTGATCAGCTAAAATTCTTTTAAAGATTGTCTGAAGAAAGTAATTTTTTCCTTCTTCAAACATTTTCTTTTGTTGGAACAGTACCCGGCAACCATTTGTTGTTGGATAGAGATGGAAGGAGCAAGTAACGCGACGGTCAGAGTATAGTTGAAAGGGTTATATCCTATTCCTGAATAAAGATAAGCACACTTAGTGTAAGGGAGTTGCACTTGTATGGGCAATGAGAAAGTGCTCAGATTGGGTCAGCTTGGGTAAGGTGAATTAATAAGTGAATAATAAGCTGGTGTTATGAATGTTATCCTTTACTATGTATTGAGCAGTCTCGTCTTGTGCTTGCAGGCATGGTAAACGATGAGATATCTGAAAGACAGAGACTGAAGGGGACAGAAATAGACAGCAGTATGTAATAAGGTAGTGACAAATGAAGAGAATCACTGTTGTAACATTCTGTTCTTTGAGGCTTGTATTTGTGCTGCAGCATTGCTACAGCATTGCTTTGTGCTGTGCTGCAGTAATGCAGCCATTTTTTAATTGTCTGCTGTAATTCTGCTCTTCACTAACATATTCTGTTGTTTTACTGCTGTGTGTTTCATTGTTTCCCTCCTAAATAATAATATTAACATGATTAATAAAAGTGGGAGCAAGGGGCTGGTAACCCCTTCTCTTGTGTAAATAACTAAACTTAAAAAGAAGAAAATTTTCTTTTTTGAGTCACCTTGCCTCGGCAGGAGACAGTCATTGTGTTGAAAAAGTAAAAAAAGGTTAACATAAGAACATAAGAAAGAAGGAACACTGCAACAGGTCTACTGACCCATGTGGAGCAGGTCCATGTCACCCCCCCCCCCCCCGGATTATCCCAATGACCCACCCAGTCTGGTCATCCCCACTCAAGGATGGAACACTGTACCAGACTAATAAAACTATCATTTCTTCAGCACTATGGAGAAGACAGTACATTACTTATAGTAATCATAAAGGATGGGTTGCAGTCCAGAGGGTCATTTGAATTATCATGTCCTACTGTTGAATCGGCATTAGTGAATGTTTCCTTATTTTTGACCACCCTACTTTGACGAGAATTGGTCGATGTAGTAAACAAAAAAGCATAGGAGTGATCATTTCTGTATTTCAGACTTGTTTAATTCATGTTAAGCGCTAAACCCATGTAGTTTATTCAGCACAAGACGTGGTGGAAGCTTGATCCTCCGTCTGCTAAGAGCAGAACAGATGCGCTTCCTGTTTGTTACATATCCACTTTCCCATACATGCACTACACTCTAAATGCACTCATATGTGCAGACTTTTATGCTTTCAAGGGCTAGCATACCTATACCATCACAGGCCATGATTTATAATTTAGAGGTTAGTTAATTTTTCTTTCTTGTCACATTATAATATCCAACTCTGTAGCTTACATTAAACTTGGTGTTCTTCTCATTAATTTTTCCAGCATTATTACAAAGTTTTGAAAAATAAAAACTATGCATAAGGTGTAATAAATCATAAAGATTCCTAATGCTTTATTATAATCTGTACACACAAATGAATTTATAATGTTATCAAGGCTATGAAAAATTGACAGCATACAAATTTCTAGGTGTTTAAAATAGTTTAAATACTGATTGTGGTTGTATCTCATGACTTCTGAATGCTGTAAACCAGGGTTTGACTTCACATATTGTAGCTGGTAATAGATTAAGGAAAAACCTATTGGTATATTATTAATAGAGAAAATTAAACTTAATAAAAGAGATATATAGTAGACCTGTTGTCCCCTTCTAGGCAGGTCCAACAGTCACCCAGCATTCCCATTAATATATTTGACTAATCTATTTTCAAAGCTACACTGGCACTTAGCAGTTTCTTCCACCTATCTACATCTCTGTTGCTGAAAAAGTGCTTTTCTTTGTCATTTTTATCGTTTATATATTTAAGAATATTATTTCCTCCTTTATTTTTAGAATCTGTATTCCTAATGTATTTTAACACAATGGTGATGAATCTTTCTAAATCTGGAAGTATGAGTGGGAATGAAACATAATATTTTCATTATACAGTATAGACAAGCCCTGTTTATACAGCAGGCTAGGTTCTGGGCTACTGTAGGGCCTTGCTTATACAGCAGGTTAGGTTCTGGGCTACTGTAGGGCCTTGCTTATACAGCAGGTTAGGTTCTGGGCTACTATAGGACCCTGCTTATACAGCAGGTTAGGTTCCAGGCTGCTGTAAGGCCTTGCTTATACAGCAGGTTAGGTTCTGGGCTACTATAGGACCCTGCTTATACAGCAGGTTAGGTTCCAGGCTACTGTAGAGCCCTGCTTATACAGAAGGTTAGGTTCTGGGCTATTGTAGGACCCTGCTTATACAGCAGGTTAGGTTCCAGGCTGCTGTGGTGCCCAGCTTATACAACAAGTTAGATTCCAGGCTACTGTAAGGCCCTGCTTATACAGCAGGTTAGGTTCCAGGCTACTGTAAGGCCCTGCTTATACAGCAGGTTAGGTTCCAGGCTACTGTAGGCCTGTTATAAAGGGGTTTGGTTCCAGGTCTGTAGGGCCCTTGCTTATACAGCAGGTTAGGTT